TGTCTGGCTGGCTGCAGCTGTCGGGTGGCTCCATGCTTCCTGGCCAGTGCTGAGCTCACCAGCTGCCTTCCCGGAACCTCCAGGCTTCAACCAGCAATTATATTTAAGAGGACTGCAGCTGCTCTAGTCCTTTACAGTGCCCATCCAGTTCAGGCCCCAGCCCCAGCAGCTGCCTGGCTGGCCTTGTCCCCCACGTCCTGCCCACACCGTACCACCCGGCCCAGTCCCCCACCTTCAGCGGCACAGATCCGGTCTCCCGCCTGCTGCCTGCATCAGAGCAGCGCTTCTCTAGCCTGCTGCCCTGCCTCGTGTGGTGCCATTTAACCCTGTAAAAGCAGCTGCAGGACACGTAATGCGTCAAGGGAGTTGCTCAAGAACTAGGAGGAGACACTCAAAGTCCACCCTCACAGAAACTGCCCACCCAGAGCCCCTGCTAAGTGAGCCAGAGAGGTGACAGTGGAAAGCAGGAGCCTGGGACTACTAGGCACTCAAACCCAGGGGGAAAGGGAAACCAGACTATGAAAAAGTATCTTGCGAATTGGGGGGTGAGAACCAGAGGTGGCATCTCCTGGGATGCAGAATTCGGAGACCAAGCCCAGGAGCAGGCTAACAAATACTCTGGGCCACAGGCGGGGTCTCTGTCCCAGGGCTTGGCTTCTCACACAGGGTACTCCATGGCACACGGGAGCATGGTCTGGTACATCACAGAGATGGAAGGGTAGTTGCGGGGTTGAGGGTGCAATACCACACTTTACTACAAGGTTGGCTGAAATAGCGAAACTTCTCAAATCCCACTCACATAGCCTATCACTTTTTGCTACATCCTGGAAAGGCTTCTTCCAGTCTGAGAAAGGAGGGGAATTGCACCAAGAAAGAAACTTCAGTATCAAAAAGGTGGTTAGGAAGTAGCAAAGAGGACAGCAAGAAAATGAAAACCCAAGGGAACAGATTCTGCAGATGCAGGAGTCAATCCTTCCTTCCCTTTCCCTCCACCTTTTGTCCCATCTCACCCCCACACCTTTCCCTGGCTCTCCCTCCAGTCTCCCCTCTCCTGGCTCTCCTGTCCTTCACTCACATCCGCACTGCAGTATTCCTAAGAATAACTCCTCTACATCACCGAGGCTGCCCCTCCCAGTTGGGCAGCGAGGAGGCAGCCAGCCCGGCCACCACCCCGACGGCTCATCACACAGCCCAGTGCCAAGCCTTCCCGGCTCCCTGCCCAGCCCTCCCGGCTGCCCATGTCCTTCTCCTTTTCTCTGGCCTTCCCATTCAGACTACCAGGGCCAGTGACTGGCCCTAGTGGCATCGAGTTATATATTTTCTTGTGCAAGATCATTATCTTTCCAGGCCTTATTTTCTTCATCTACAACGTGAAGGCTTGAGAAGTGGTACCTTCATGTCCCTGGAGGCCATGGGTCCCTAGGGGAAGAAGGTAAGACTGAAAGGGGACAATAACCCTGGACACAACGTATCAGGAAGGCTAGGAAGCACTGTTTGACTGTACACCCAACAAATTCAGGTACAAACTTAAGGAAGTTATGTCAGGATTAAGACTAATAAAATCTTACAGGGTAAAAAAAGTATGAAAAGAAATCATCTGGAAGCTCACTGGAATTCTATTTGTACTCCAGTCAGACTTTTCCACAAATAGGTTCATTTTGACCTCCATTCAAATCCGGTCCATTTAGGAGATTCCCTTAACATGTAGGGTTTTAGCAATTTCTGTGTATTCTGTGTTTACCAACCACCTCTCTTCCAAATAAACTGTATCCTCGAGTGAAGTGAGGAAGAGGAGGCCCTTCCTATGCGGGAAAAACTGAGGCCAGGAAAGAGAACTACCCAAGGTCACACAAGGAAGGGGAACTAAAAACAGAACACAGGAGGCCTCAGCTCCTTCCCAGTTCAGTGCTCAGGCTGGGCCCAGGCCTTCCGGGCTGCATACGGAGCTACGGTGCTGCTCTAAAGGGAGCAGAACGAGGGCAGGGGGTGAGCGACTGCCAGCATCACACACCAACCAGCCCAAGCTGCGGGGCCCTTTGCTGCAGCAGGATGAGCTCATCAGTCCCCAAGGAATAACTCTTTGCTGCCCTGGACAGCTGAGCCAAGGACAAACACACTTTCAGTTTAAAAAAAAAAAAATGGCCCCAAGAACAGCAGTTGTTCCTGTGGTTATGAATGTTCTCCAGAGTTGTCCATGTTCCACTGCTAATTGTGCAAATTAACTCCAACTGGGGGTGGGGCTGGGTGGCATGTGAATGATAACTTCGGGATGACCAGGATTCCCAAAGAGAGTCATAACACGGACTACGCCCAGGGAAGCCGGCATGAGGGCAGAACGTAACTTCAGAAAACCTGCTGATCTGTGATCTGCTAGACTTCGGCAGGTTACAGATATCTGAAGGTCATCCCAGGCGCCCCAGTAACTTCCCAGAACATTCAGCAAATCCCAACCAACACAAATCTTGGCTATACTGAGCTGCAAGGGTAATTCCCAGGCCTGCACACAAGGGGTCAGAGTAGCTAATTAAGAGGTTAAACCTGAAGGCCCCCCAGCCGGAGCCTCCCTCTGACCTGTCATCTTCCTCTCAGACCATGGCATCCAGCACAGAGTCTGCACAGTGCTGGCTATGCCCTGCTCCTGTCCTAACAGCCTGCTGACCAACCCTATAAGGCATCCACTTGGTCTGCAGCCGGCACGCCAGCATTACATCCCTTCACCAGGCCTTCTGTGCTGCCCTGCCCAATGCGCCACAAAAATCTGAATCTGCATCCTCAGCGTGCACTGACCTGTCCCCCTGCTGCCTCCTACTCACAGGGTGTGTCCACATTCCCAACTTTCTCCCACTGGGCCCCCCTGCTGGCTCCCATCACAAGGCCTCCGCCCTTGGCTCTTTGCACCTTCACATATTCCCAGCTCCCACTGGCCCTATGATAACTACCAAGCCCTTCCCCATTCCCCAGGGAATTCCCTTTACTCTTTCTTCTCCCATGGTTTTGACCTACTCCAAAAATGCCCTGCGGTCCCAAGAGCCACTCATTTGAAACTAGAGTGGATACCCAGCTTCCATCCACAACATTGCTTTAGGAAGCTCTATGCAGCGGTGGGATGACCACCCCACAGTGTGGCCCTCTCTCACCACTAATTCACTTAGGATTCCCCAGTTAAAGTTGTACGTTGGCATTTCACTTCTGATCAGCAGGTGGAGCTTGTATCACAAAACGGGCCCGAGGACTAAGACAGGTGGAGATACCAGGAAATGCAGATGTGACCCTTGCCCCTTTCACACCTCACAAAACCCAGTTACACTTTTCTCCAAACATTGAAACCTACATGAGACAGAAAGACAAACCAGAAGAAAGCTGTGAATTGCCCACAGTATTCCACTGCCAGTCTCCTTCCCGTCACGGGTCTGACTTCTGCATTTTCTGTTGATTCCGTCTTGCAGGACCCAATTCCATTATTGCACTTCCGAGGTCCTCCTTACACAGCAAGAACTTTATTTCTCCCTGATTCTTGGGGCCCAGCTGCCCTCCTCTCCACACCTCATCATGGCCTCCTCTCCACACTCATCAAGCGTGAGTGTGGTGGGACACTGAGCCATGTCCCCACCTGCCAGGTCCCTATCCCTACCTCCGCTTGTATTCGTCCCGCTCACGCTTCACCTTGGCCAGCACATTGTAGAGAGCGCGGATCTCGGGGGTGATGGTGTCGATCTGGACGCCCACCCCGTCAGGGTGCACCCATGACAGGCCAGGTCCCTGCACCAGCATGGGCTCCAGTCCCGGGCCGAGCCGGCGGGCGTGAGAGAAGGACCAGATGGTGCCCGGCATGAAGCGGGCCGATGAGGAGAAGGCGGTGGAGGTGGAAGAGCAGGCGACGGAGGTGGAGGTGGAGGGCGACGAATGGCAAGCGGTGGAGGGCGCGAGGGAGCCGGCTGGCGAGCGCGCGGGGGAGCCCAGCACGCGTGCTGATGGGGTGCAGACAGCGGCAGGCCGGGCGCCCAGCGGCAGCCCCAGTGGGCGAATGGGACTGACGAAGCCGGTCTGCACAGCCTGGTCGCGGCGAGCCAGGCCCCGCCGGCCCTGCTTACCCTCCTCCAGCGCCTGCTGCAGCTGCTTCTCCAGCAGCCGGTTACGGCGCTCCAACTCGTGCACCTTGGCCAGGAAGCAGCGAAAGCGGAGATTCAGGGTCTTGAGCACATTGATGTTGGAGCCCAGGTCGTTGCGGAGGGCCATGGCGGCGGGGGGCGCTGGGGCCGGACCAGGCGGCGAATAAGCAGGACCGGGAGGGGCAAGTGGCGAGGACAAGTCCCCTGCGCCGGCGAAGTGGTCACCTCCCAAGGGGTCCCCCAGCGGCCCAGCCAGGCCCTGCTGCTCCTGCTGTAGGAGGAAGAGGTTGGGGCCGAATAACGGATTCATGGCTGCGCCTTCTGCTGGGAGATGGAGACCGGTGCAGGAGCAGGGATACAGGGCGGATGAGAAGAACCAATGAAGCGCCCGGGGAACGTGGGAGAACCAATCAAACAGCTCGACAAAACGGGCAGAGGTCAGGGGGGCGGGAGAGGGCAGAGAGGAAGCCAATGAATGGCTCAATTTGAGGCTGCCAAGTGGACTTTCCCGGGTCTGGGGCAGAACCCTGAGCTGAGTGAAGCAGCAGTGAGCTCTTCTAAGTAGGTTGGACCCCAGCCTGTGCCCAGAATCCAGTCAGGGTGGCAGAAAGTACAGGCCCTCCAGTACGCCATGGATCCCGCTGGTGGGTAGCCCATCTTCCCTACACACCCATTGCCCCCCGCCCCGCCCCCCTTCCCTACCTCCAACTCACCCTCTCCTTCCCCGAGTCCCCCCCCCCCAGTCCTAGGGATCCCAGGAACCTAAAACTGACTTGATTTCTCAGTATACCACACTGTTCCCTCATAAGAGGATCCCTGTCCCACCCTCCCATCTCTACCCTTAAAGCAGCAAAGCCAGTAACCAGTCCCCTCAAAAAAAATACAAGTGACCAGAGATTGCAAAATGTATATTAAATTTCATAGGCATAGTGGGAAAGCCATCCTCACAGAGGTAAGGTTTCTGACCCAGTGACAACAGCCAAGGAGGCAGCCCAGTCTAGTTTTAACCATCCACCTGGATTAAGATTTTCTCCTCTTTGCGGGTGGGGGCTGGCTGGAACCAAGAGAGGACATGACAGGAGTCTTCGGTCCCTTGGGGGTACCATTCTGTTTTGGGAAGGCAGCTTTCTTGGAAGTCTTCTGTGGCAACTGCTGCTTTACCTTCTTAGCCCCCTGGGTCTTCCCAAAGGGCTGAACACAGTTCTCAGCCTTCTGAGTGGCCAGAGTCTGGGAGAGCCGCAACCCTGCAGGTATCTCTGCATCTGTACCCTTGGGAGGAGCATTCTGCTTCAGGGAGGGAACTTTCTTGGAAGCCTGCAATTTAGGTGACTGTTGCTTTTTTATCCCAGTCACCTTTGATTTCCTGGCCACTACTGTCACTTTGGCCTTTTCAGCTGGCTGACTACCATCCTGGAGCTTGGAGGAAGCTGGGTCCTTTGTACTAAAAGGTACAGTGGACAATTCAGAGTCTGCCCCTTTGGGGATGCCATTCTGCTTCTGGAAAGAGGCCTTCTTGGGGTGTTGCCGTTTCTGCAAGTGTCGCTCTGCTTTCACAGCCACTTTGGCCTTCTTGGCAGGCTGGCTGCTGCTCTGAGGCTCAGGGGTCACTTGACCTTTCAGGTCTCCCAAGTCTGGGTTTGTAGGGGTGGATGCTGCAGAATTTCCTGGGGCTAAAATTAAAGACTGTTTTGTGAAAAAGGGCCTCATGACTGGATTTTGATCATTAGTGGTAGAGACAAGTAGAGGCATTAAAATAAGCAAACTGCCTGGGAACACTGGGCACTGCCAGCACTCCACACAGCAGTGCCTCAGAGCAGACTGCCTGGATTCACGTCGTCTGACACCGCCAGACCTTCACTCAAGTCCCGTTTGAACCTTGCAATAAAGAGAAGGGTTTACTACCCATCCTTGGGCCAAAAGGTTTCAGAGGAAGCTGTGCCCCCCTGAGGACAGCAGATAGCAAGACACTCTGAAGAGATAAATCCTGAGTAAATCTGAAGCACTGGGTTTTTTTGTTTTTTTTGGGGGGGCGTGTTTTTTGTTTGTTTGTTTTTTTGTTTTGGTTTTTTTTTAAGTCAAGGACTTTTTTCCTGGTGGATTTTGATGAGATACAGGAAAATAAGGCTCACACAACTAGAAACAAGCTAGTAAGACATTAATGTGTACTGACATATCAAATGTGTACTTTCAAAGTTACAACAGCCCTGGCCAGGTAGCTAAATTGGTCTAAACACCCCTGAAACATGGCAACTGTGGGTTCAATCCCCAGTCAGGGCACATAGAAGCAACCAATGGATGCATACATAGGTGGAACAATAAATCGATGTTTCTCTCTCTCCCCCTCTTCCTCTCTGTCTCTAAAATCAATAAATAAATCTTCAATAAATCATGCAGTTTGCATCCAGACACGTGCACTGTCCCCTCTCCCATCTACACCCAGGTTACAGTCCCAGTATGCTGAGCTCTAAGCCTGTTTCAGAAAACTGCACCCTTCCCCTTGAGACCCAGGGCAGACTCCCAAGATGGCTGAGAAAACCATCTGTAATTAGTGGGATGGGCTCAGAGAACTGCTGATTGTTCTGAGGAGTCTTATGCCAACCCTGTGCTGACAATGCTGGACCAGCAGAGATGCATTAACAGTGAGCCAACCCTGAGCCAAGAAGAAAGAGAAACCACAACCCAAACTGGGCACACATTCAGTGCCAAACAAGCACAAACACGGGAGAATGAAGGGAAAGGCCCCATCCCCGGAAACGCTCCATCACACTCCAACGGGGTCCGAGCTCAGGAACAAGTCTAGCTGGGACGTGAGGAGGCTCTTCTCTTACCCAAGCAGACAAAGGTAGAGAAAAGGAAGGCAGAAATTCTTCCCTTCCCTGGGGTCACACTATAAAGGCCTCGTGAAGGCAAAAAGAGCAAAGGCAGTGATGATGGGTGGACAGTAGATTACTTACCTGTCTGAGACTGGGGAATAGAATTAGAGAATTTCTTGAACTTGGCAATAAAGAAACCATCCATATTGTGGGTGTGAGGGTAGAAGCGGCGGGTAGAGCGCAGAGTGGGGTGGAAGCGCCTTTCTCGAAAGCGGGTAAAACCCTCCTGGCCAAAGTCTAGACCTGTGGGCACCAGCCGCACGTTCCTCTTTTTCAGAGCATAGTCTACCACCCACTCGTTCTCTTCCACCTGGATTATGTAGGGGGACAAAAACAGAAGGAAAAGCAGAGCTGCAGCTGAAGGGAGCTCCAAGGGGCAAACAGTCTTCCAGCCCTGCTCTCCTGCAGCTCTGCCACGGCACAGGCCTCACCATGATAGAACAGGTGCAGTAGACGAGGTAGCCTCCCGTCTTGGAAGTGGCATTGACAGAATCAATAGCACTCAGGAGCAGCTCCTTCTGAAGGTGAGCACAGCGCAGGACGTCCTTCTCATCCTGTTCCAGGTAGGAGACGCAAGGGTGTCAGATTTTCAGAAAGTAGCCTCAGAAAGACAAGTGAGCTACTGGTTGCCCAGAGTGCCCCTCCACCGCCCCTCCAGCTCCACAAGGCCCAGCCAAGGCCTCTCAGCCACCCCTCCCCAACCCCAGCTCCTCACCTTGTTCGTCTTCACAGCTGGGTCCTTGGAGATGATGCCGGTACCACTGCAGGGGGCGTCCAGCAGTACTCGGTCAAAACCCCCTATCACCTGGGGGGAAAGGATAGGTTAATCACCTATCAAGTCTAAACATGCTGTGTCAGGTAGAGGGCAGGGGAACTGGAAGACACCTCAGAAGAGATGCACAGAGGGGAGTCTCACCTTGGGGAACTGACGCCCATCGTAGTGGCTGATAATGGTGTTGGTGACTCCCAACCGGTGCAGGTTTCCCACAACACTCTTGAGGCGCTCAGCACTGGCATCATTGGCAAGGATCACACCCGTGTTCTTCATCAGCTGGGCTGAGGGGAGGGAGGGTACAGTGCTCAGCAGCCAGCTCCTCTGCCCCTATACTTGCTAGCCACCCTCTTACCCAGGAATCCACCGGAAAAGTCTTAGCACCTCAAGAAAAATTTCACTCTTAATAAGCTCTGCCTACTGCATGGGCCTCCCCACTCTGCACTGACCCCTAGTAATGAGCAAGCTCATAAACATGTGTTTTCCTATTGTTACTGACCATCTCTCTGGTCCCACAGATTATTTTTTTTCAAGTAACAGCTTAATCAAAAATGGTTATTGCTATGGCTGACTACTATGCCAAGGACCTTCATATACACATCTCAACCCCCACAACCCAAATATAATGTAACAGTCAACCCAAGCACAATCACCATGCCATTTTACAGATGACAAGAAAATCAAGGGCTTGCCCAAGGTCCTAAAAGTGGTACCCACAGGGCTGGACCTCAGCCAACTCCAGAGCCTATGCTCCTCACGACTCTGCTAGCTGTCTGCGCACTGTCTCGTGAGTGCTAGCCAGTCGCCAACCCCACCTACTTTCAAAAGCAGAGACCCAAATGAACCCTACCCCTGCCTGCCCTCCTCATACCTATATAACTGGTCTTTCCTCCAGGGGCACAACACATGTCCAGGATCCGCTCATGTTCCTGGGGCGCCAAGGCCATGACAGGTAACATGCTGGAGGCTCCTTGCAGCATATAGTGCCCAGCCAGGTACTCGGGAGTAGCACCTGTAGAAGAGGATCTGTCCATGACAAGCTGGGACAAGGGCAGGGGCACAAGGACTACTGGGCAGGGAACACTCACCAATGGGCACTGAGGAATCATATACCACTAATCCAGTCTTTGACCACTTGCCCAGGGGATCCAGGTTAACCCCACGATTGATTAGTGCCTTAAGATAAGAATGAAGATTTTTTAAACCTTGTACGTTACTATCCCCAGAAAACAAATGGAAATATGAAAACCTAGTCCTACCAGGAAGTCTATGGCACGAATTCTAGAGCTCTCAGAACACAGTCATCAGAGACTCACTGAATGCAACTTCCCTTCTCCCACCCCACCCCCTGGTGTCCTTTGCTTTAGCTTTAGACTAACTCGAGGTCTGAACTCCATTCCAATAACAGACTGCCAACACCTGTTCTGTTATTTCCTAGAAGTGGATTCTGATTTTCCAAGAGATTTAGTCCCCTTACAAAACCAAAACTTAAACCTATTGGTTAGAATACATTAAAGATAATTATCAAGCCCTGGCCAGGTGGTTAAATTGATGGGAGCATTGCCCCATACACCAAAAGGTTGCAGATTCGAATCCTAGTTGGGGCACATATAGGAGGCAACAAATCGATGTTTCTGTTTCACATCAGTGTTTCTCTCCCCCACTTCCACTCTCTAAAATCAATAAAAATGTGTCCTTGGGTGAGCGTTAAAAATAGTAATAAGATAACTACCAGCATATCTTTGTACCAGGAGATACAAAACACATGCATGAACTAAACTTTAGGAACAGGGGTCTTTAACCTAGGGGCCCCAAACCCTTGGAAAGAGGGAGATTAAATCACTGTTTGTGCGTGTATGATGTTTTTAAAAAATTTTCTTTATTGATTTTTGGACGAGAAGGAAAGGGGCAGGAAGGGGGGAGAGTGAGACAGCACATCAATGTGTTATTCCACTTACGTATTCACTGGGTTTTTTGTTTTTAAAGATTTAATTTATTTTTAGAGAGAGGAGAAGGGAGGGATAGAGGGAGAGAAGCAAGGGTGAGAGAGAAAAATCAATCAGTTGCCTCGGATACACATTCCAACCAAGGACCAAAACCAGCAACTTTTTGCTTTGTGGGACAACTCCTGACCAACTGAACCACTCAGGGTTAGGGCTTCACTGGTTGATTCTTGTACGTGCCCCGACTTGGGATCAAACCCATAACCTCGCTGCATCAGGAGAACACTGCAACCAACTGAGCTGCCCCGTCAGGACCTGCGGTGTCTTTCTCTGGAAGCAGGAATCACAGTTTCTCAATGATTCACCAGCTTCTCAATGATCTAAAAGGCAAACAGCTCCTTCTGATTTCTGAAGGGGCACTTTTATGCTGATTCAGATGTCTCAACTAGTTTCCCACTTCACAGAAATCCTAGGGCCTGAGCCAGTCAGACACACCCAGCATGATGCTAAGCCTATACCCATTTGCCTCCTGGGATCACGCTTATACCAACAAGGTACTAAGACCCCACCAGGTCAGGGTGGGATAAGGGAGTTTCTGTGGTCGACAGAAGTCAGCACCTCCCAGAGATAAGCAAACCTCAAAATCCGCCCCTCACCTGAGCAAGGTCTCGGCGCCGGGTTTTCAAGGTGTTGGTCCTGAGGGTGATGGGCCGAGGCACCTCATTAGCTTCTAAGAACTCCAACAGCTGGGAAAACAAAATGGCAGGCAGCAAGTCAGGCTGGCCAAGGAGCTCAACCCAAAAAGCACAAGGGAGCTGCCTGCCTCCCCTATACAGCGTAAAAGAGAAGTGATAAAAGGAAAGCACAAGAGGCATTAAATTAGCAATTCAGTACCTCAGACAGAGGGAAGAGGTCCATGAGCTTGCCAAGCAAAAAGTCCCCATAGGAGTAGTAAGTGGCCAGATCCCTCTGAAGCCGGTGCACATATTCAGATCGAGACCGACCTTCCTCCCGCTGAGTCTTAAAATCACGCAACACTCCCACTATATCTTGGATGCGCTTGTGAACTCGTTGCAAGTCTGGAGTCTGGGCATGTGAACCTGTCAAGGATCTGTCCCATGATGTCCCAGGGCCTGGTATTCTCCACTAGCAAGCACCTTCCCCCAGCCCTATCCTGCTGCACTAGAAGGATATCCTGCTCCATCTCTCCAGCAGGGGGCAGCACAAAAAGCTCCTCTTCATCCACATTGATCTGCAGATCCTCATCTATCTTGTCCTCCTTTTGGGGGCCTGACTCAGGGGACATTTTCTCCTCTTCCTCCTCTTCATCAGTCTCCTCCTCACTCCACTGGCCCCTAGAAACAGGTTCAGAAACAGAGTGATTCGAAGAACAAATCAGACACCTCCTTCCTCCCTCACCATTTCAACCAGTACCTTACTCTCCATCCTGAAATTTCCAAAACTCACCCAGCAGCAGCTTCCTGGGCCTTCTGCTTCCGAGCAGCCCTTTCAATGGGCAGCAACTGAAAAAAGATACAAGGAGCTGGTGATGCAAAGCTTGCTCTCCCACCAACCCACTAGCACTTTCTATCTGTATTTTTCCCCCAAATAAAATGTACCACTTGCTCTCAGAAGGTGACACAGACCCTAAAGTGAATATGAAACTAGCACAGTATTAACCACTGTTGAAACTAAGTAATGAGTTTAAATGTTTATTATATTGTTCTACTTATTTTTGTGTTCCTCTTTCTATCAAAAAGTTAAAACAGCCCTGACTGGTGTGGGTCAGTTGGTTGGGAATCCTCCTGCAAAGCCAAGGGTTATCAGTTTGTATTTCCGGTCAGGGCACATGCCTGGCTTGCAGGTTCAGTCCCAGGTCAGGGTGTGTATGAGAAGCAACCAATCGATGTTTCTCTTTTTCCCTCCCTTCCCCTCTCTATAAAATAAATAAATAAAACCTAAAAATAAAGATTTTTGAAACATGTAGGTGTATACACCCACATGTATACACAGAGGACAAAAACTGCCCTTGGACACCTTTTCCGCCATATTCCAGACTTACTCTATTTTTCACAGTTAAAATCATGATGCACTTCCAAATCTGTCTCTTGCCTTTTCTCATTCACAGACCACAAGCATATTCAGACATAATGGCCAAATGTTAACAGTAAACATAGTTTACTTATGCCTATTGGGTGTTTTGGAATTTTCCAGAGTTTTCGGTATTCAAGTTCACACAGTGGCTGAAAATCTCCTAACAGGAGCTCTGCAGAGAGAAGGGGGGTTGTGGGAGAGGGGTGCAAATGGGAACTTCCTTTTTATTCTACACACCTCTATATTACTTGAATTTTTTCCAAATTATAAAAGAAAGTTCATATACAAAGTTACGGAGGTAACGGAATTGGCCAGTTAGCTTGCACAGGCTCAGTAAACAAGTTACAAGGGCCTTCCAAAAAGAAAGGCCCTTGGAGCTGGGGAGCAAGGCAAAAGTTATGCACCCGGCAGGGAAGAGGGGGAAGGGAAAGGCCCGTGGGCATGCTCCTGGGAGTATGCTCTAGACTTTTCTAATAGCATACCCATATACAAATTGTGGAATCCGTAAGTAATTTCTTATACTTCCATACACAAATCTGCCCACATTTTGGATCACATTCTAAATGGAATTGCAAGATAAAGAAAAAGTTTCATCCTGGCTAGTGTAGCTCAGTGGATTGAGTGTGAACCTATGAACCAAAGAGTCGCTGGTTCAATTCCCAGTCAGGGCACAAGCCCGGGTTGCAGGCCAGGTCCCCAGTAGGGGGTGTGTGAGAAGCAACCACACACTGATGTTTCTCTCCCTCTCCCTCCCTTCCCCAGCTCTAAAAATAAATCAATACAATCTTTGTTTTTAAAGAAAAAGTTTCTAAAGTTCTCAGATACCAAATGCTTTATAAAAAACACGTGTGCATTTCTATTCCCATCAGCAGGCAAACAAGTGTCCACCTTACCACATCCTTATCAGCACTGAGTATTCTTGTGTTTTAAAATGCTCTATCCTACAGCTCTTTTAAATTTCCATGTACCCTAAAAGGACATAAGGTAAGAGAAAAACAGTGATGGAACACTAAAATCCCTTTTCTCCACTCAGGGTTATCCCCGTCTCGAGGATCTGGAAAGACTCTAAGGCAAGGATCCCTTCCTGAATACCTGGAAAGATAACTCACCTCTTCACCTTCATCCTCTGAGCTGGAGCCTACTCCATAGTCATCAACCATATCAGCATCACTGTCCTCAGAGCCCCAGAAGTCCTCCTGGTTTCCCACACCATCATCTTCAGAGTCTTCCTCCTCCTCTTCCTCCTCACTGTTATGGGCTGGTGCTGGGCGCTTCTTGCCTTGAGCACTGTTAAATAAGGACTGGGCTCCTTTCTTACCAGGTGCCTGGACAGCTCCTGCAGAGATCCCTAAGGATTTGAAGAATCCTGGACTGATGGCAGTCACACACTGATGGGGCCAGTACTTTCTACCCCCAAGAATGTCCTTTAGTTGTTCTTTCCACTCCAGACTGTTCAATGAACCCTTCCCTACCCAGAACCCACAGGACTCTTCAAGAAGCATCCAGCTCCTATTTTCACTGACCTTTTGGTAGCTTTCCAGGCAATGGTCTGGCCCCAGGACACTCATTCATCTCAAGGGCTACAGCAGAGCTCAACCTCCTCTTGGCTGCCCTGAAAAGACACAAGGAGTGAAGAAATGGAGCACACCCCCAGGTTCTGCCACTTCCCACAAGGAAATCTGACAGTTCCCAAACAGCCCTTTTTATCAGCATGATCATACAGCAACACATGGCTGAAGACGAAAAGTATTAATTTAATCTACATAAGTCTGGACAGTCACACTCACCTCTTTCGAGCACGACTAGACAGCCTTTTGGAATTTTCATCATCAGCTGAAAAAAAAAAAAGAGGCAGAACCAGGTTATAGGGGACATGAAAAAAAAAAAAAGCAAGGGAAGAGGAAATAAAAGTGGGGAAAGAGCCCTAGCTGGGTGGCTCATTTGGTTAAAACACTGTCCCATACATCAAAAGATTGTGGGTTCGATCTCCAGTCAAGGGCACACACCTAGAATGCAAGGTTGGATCCTGGGTCTGGAAGTGGTTATAAGAGGAAACTGATCAATGTTTCTTTTACTCTCTCTCTCTCCTCCCATCCTCTCTCTCTAAAATCAATAATAATGTATCCTCTGGTGAGGATTAAAAAAGAAAAAGTGGCCTGGCTGGTGTAGCTCAGTGGATTGAGTGTGGGCCTGCGAACCAGAGTATCACGGTTCAATTCCCAGTCAGGGCACATGCCTAGGTTACAGGCCAGTTCCCAACAGGGGACTCACAAGAGGCAACCATACATTGATATTTCTCTCCCTCTCTCCTTCCCTTCCCCTCTAAAGATAAATAAATAAAATCTTTAAAAAGTTTTTTTAAAAAAGAAGAAAAACTGGGGCCCTGACCTGTGTGGCTTAATTAGTTGGGCACCATTCCACAAAGTGCAAGTTCAGGGCACATATCTGCGTTGTGGGTTCAATCCCTGGTTGGAGTACATACAAGAGGCAACCGACCAATGTTTCTCTCCCTCTTTTTCCCTCCCTTCCCTTCTCTCTAAAATAAATAAATAAATAAATAAATATCTTTTTTCCCCTCCAAAAGGGGGAGGAGCGAGCACACTAACAAAAGGGAGTTGATTCTAGTTCACTGCATCGTGCTTTACCAGGAGATGGATAAGAAATGTAAAGGAGATGATCTCCACCTGGTTGTTCAGCAACCAAATCCAAAATAGGCCTCCCTCCAGAGTTCTGGTTTCTCTTTTTCTTGCTTCCTTTTTTAAATTGATTTAGAGAGAAAGGGGAAAGGGGGAAAGGGGGAAAAGAGGAAAGGGAGAAAGGGGGAAAGGGGGAAAGGGGGAAAGGGGGAAGGGAAAGGAAAGGGGGAAAGGAGGAAAGGGGGAAAGGAGGGAGGAACCTCAATTTGTTGTTCCACTTATTTATGCATTCATTGGTTGATTCTTGTATGTGCCCTGACCCAGGATGGAACCTGCAACCTTACATTTTGGGACAAAGCTCTAACCAACTGAGCTACCTGGCCAGGGCAAGACTTCTGATTTCAATAAACACCATCATCACCATTCCGATAATACATATTCAAAAGTTACCCTTTTTGTCTGTCTTTTCCTTTACTCTCAATTTCTTATAAAGATTTTATTTATTTATTTATACAGAGAGGCGAAGGGAAAGGGAGAAAGGACAGAAACATCAGTGTGGGTTTGCCTCTCACATGCACCCCACCAGGGACCTGGCCTGCAACCCAGGCATGTGCCCTGACTGGGAATCGAACCAGCAACCCTTTGGTTCAGCAGGCCAACACTCAATCCACTGAGCCACACCAACCATGGCCCTTCACTCTCAATTTAATTGGTTATCAACCAGTGCAAATTTTACCTCTACAACTCCTATTTTTCATACATTCTCCAAGAAATAAAAGGTTTAAATCTTAGCCCCATCATTTAGTAACTATCTGCAACTTACTTAACCTCTCAGCATCTATTTCCTTAGCAACGCTTTTCTCAGAAGGCATTAAGAGAATAAAGTGGTACGATGTGTCCAAAAAGTTGAATATAATGTGTACCTCAATGAACTGCATCTTTTATCCAATGTCCACTGCAAACTACCTGTCCACTCTTCTCTCCCACCCGTCCTCCATGCAACAGACTGACTACTCGCCATTGGGGAACCAGATTTGTGCGTTATCAGCTCCATCTCCTCCACAATGCAGTTCAGTGACTGGACCATCTCCTTCCCAACTTCCACTTGCTGAAGTACCACTCGTTTTTCAAAACCCAGTTTCTTAAAATTTAATGTAAGTTCTAGAGACCTTAGCTGCATGGGATTCCTCCCTTTCTTTAAACTCCCTCAATGCTAAACCACACCTCTTCTTGTATGGGTACTTGCTTCCCATACAAGTCGCATCTTCCCTAAGTTCTAAACGCTGATGACAGTGTTTCTTTCACTCATACTCATTAGTAATACGTCATAAAGGGGAAAGGGAAAATTCCAAACAACAGGAAGTGAACAGAGACTAAAAAACTGAAGGGGTTATGAATACAAATTTAAAAAGAAGCATAAACGCTTGGAGAATCAGAAAGCATGCCTGACCCTTACCTGCAGGCAAGAATCTGGTGAGTTCGGTCTCTGCACCCTTCTGTTTCCGGGCTTTTCGGCCCGGCCCGCGCTTCTCCTTCTTTGTAGGATCCAACTTGCGCCCCATGGTACTGGGGTAAAAGAAAAACGGGATGAGGTGAGCTGCGCGTGTTGGAAAGGGAAAGGAAGACCGCAGTCTTGACGTATTAGAGTGGAAAAAGGTATCACTTCGACCAGAACCTCAACTCAGCAACCCCTACAGGCCCTCCAGGCCTGACCAAACTCCGTTCTGCGAAGAGACTAGGACCCCATGCCATTTGTACAACATCTGCCTCCCTATGCCCCGGCCCAAGTTACTGCTCCCTTCCCAGACGTCCTCCACAAACCTCCGGGGCCTCAGTTCACCTGAAAACAGGTCCAGCCCCGAGACGCTCCCTCCGTACCAGGGGAACCACTCCACGTGCAGTACACTAGCTTTCGGATACCACCCTCCTACAGAAAACGTTTCACGCAGGCGCCAAGAAATCCTTGTAGCCCCGCCTCTTCCGGCCCGCGGCTGTATGCGTAACGTGAGACGCCTTGGGAACGTGTGTGAAGCTGCCTGCTGTGTAGCCGGGGAAAATTCAGGTGCGGACCGCTCTACTAGTAGTTGGAGAGGACAAAGGCATTAAGGGAGCCGTTTTCAGCTTCCTCGCCCATTCTTCTTCTGCACTGATGTTTGGCCTCAGGGCAGATTTCAATAGGGAAACTACTTGTATTGGCAAGGCCCTCGTGGCATCCTCCACCCTTCTTCCAGTCTCTAAGACCATGGAATCCCGGGACCCTTTACCAACAACTCCCAGTTCTTTGATTAGGAAACCCTTTCTTGATCCCGAACACCGCTGCTCAGCCTGTCAGGTAAGATTTCTCTCTGCCTAGGTTCAGATCTGGACGGTCAGAAGGACATCTTGCATCCTGACGTCATCACCCGTGATCAAGAAAATTTTCAGCCTTCAGGTAAATACTAAGGTAGTGCCTAGTAGCTGTTAAAAAACTGTTCCAGGCCCTTTACTGGATTTACCTTTCTGACCACTCTAGAAAGCAGATATTTTTATTTTATATGAGAAATCCACAGCCCAGAAAAGCCCACTTCCTCAGCCATTAAATGGTAGTATAGAGAGTATGAAGCCAGGTCATTTTTTGAACCTCTTATTTTCCACAGGAGGAAAACAAGCCGTCTTCCTTGGTCCAGAGCACGTAGGGCACATGCGCACACTGGATATGGCTCTTTTGTTGATTATCAGAACATAAGGAAACCTTTAGTTTTCAATTACACATTTCCCAGAACTCCAGTCATACACATTCATCCACCTGCACCTACACCCACACTGAACCAGAGCACTAAAATACAAGGAAACTTTTATTTTCAATTTTCATCAAGAAATTTTGTTGTGGATTTATTTTTATGCTTTTGGTTCTTTTCTTTTTTTTTTTTCTTTCCACTTTATTTCATTCTAGCCGTGGCTGGAGCCGCTGGGTTCCTGGTATTAAAAAGATGCCAACAGAGGTAGCTGTGTCTCACCCAGGGGCCCAGCCCACTCTGAATACCCCAAAAAAGGAGAAAAGAAAACACAAAATAAATCAACAAATTAAAACCGAAAGAACAAAGAAATTCAGATCGTTTTCTTCAAGCCTGGCAGGAACCCACAACAGTTTTTGTGTAACAGATGTTACAGTGGGGAAAGCCAGGGCCCAGAAGAAGGCCAGCCAGCCCGCCAGCTCCCTGCAGATGGCGCCGGCGCTACTGCTGCATGTCTCTCCAGCAGGAAGGGCACCACTGCCCCTCACTACCCGCCTCCCCCAGTACACTGGGGGCTGTTCCTTTACAACGTGGAAGATGGGCAGAAGGAAGAAATGGGTCTCTCAGGCCCCCAGGGGAGAAGCTGGGCAAGGGAAAGTGAGGAAGGTCACTGCTCAGCGGTGGAGGTGGTAATCCTCAATCTGGATCTTCACTGCTGCTGGGCTACCTATGGCAAAAGAGAGCCATGAGAGTCAGAATTGCAGGCTGAAAGTATTCACCAGATCCCAAGAGAACTCTGTTAAGTTAGCCCCACCTCCCCAGTTAGAGAAAGAAGAGTTACAAGTTCCAGAATAGCTCTGCTGGAATGGGGGCCAGAAGACAATGATCCCCCACCTGCTGTGGAGTAGGTTCAGGTGCTCGGTTTGCCAGGCGGCTGAGAATGTTACGCTCTGACATCTGTAACCTCACAGCAACTGGGGGAATTCGGGCAATAGTAGCTGGGAGTCGAGTCACATCAGCTTTCATGTCACTCAGCAATTCTTCTAGCTGTTTCAGAACTGCAAAGGGAAGAAGAAACCGTGGTAAGTGTGGTGGTCAGGACCAAGCTCCTCTTTACCAGTCGACTTGTGTGCCCTACCAAGCTGACTGAGGTACTGGAGTGCTAGAGTATGGTCCTTTATCAGAGTCAACTGACCTGGCCTCTACCATGCTCAAATTCCTATTTCTCAAATTTCTGTTCCTCACATTGCAGTTGTAACTGCCCATTCTATGCCTTATTTTTAATTTAATTTTTCAATTACAGTTGACATTCAGTATTGTTAGTTTCAGGTATACAGCATAGTAGTTAAACAATAATACTTTACAAAGCTAACCCCTTGCTAAGTATAGTACCCAACTAACACCATACACAGTTGTTATACTATTTCTGACTCTATTCCCTGTGGTGTAATTTACATCCCTCTGACCCTGTTTCATCTATGCTTTTTAAAGTCACCTACTCTTTAGGTGACTAAGGACTTTAGTCACCAAAAGTCCTTTTGTCTCTATGTCTCTGCTTTCTTGAAAGAAGCCTATTCCTTTTGTTTCCTTTCTCATTATCTTTCCACCTTTTGGATTTATCTTCCTCTCCTTTAAAACAGCCTTCCTTTCCTCATTTCAACCTCCACCTCCCTCACAATGTTTCAACTTTAATTGGAAACAAAATAATGAAAGGGGTCTAGAATTTGACTGGATCTTAAATCACCTCTCTAAAGTATCCCAGATGACACTGTATTATTATGGTTTGCTTTCCACTTCTAAGAACTAGATTATATTAAGAGTTAAAAGAAGCAAAGAAACTGTCTTTGATTGCCTCTAAGGAGGAAGGTACAGATCCCCAGGACATCTTAAGCTCCCAAGCAATTCTGGAAAAGGTTTTGGAACCAAGAAATGTGTGTTGGGGAGGGGCAAAGGAGAAAGGACTACGAATCAGCAGGAGGCAGGGGAGCCACTGGCTACCTTTGTGCAGGACCGCATTGGCAGGCTTGTTTCCTGCCATTGACTCCTTGGACAGGTGCTGATGACTCTCTGCCAAACACTCCACCTCAGCAAAGCGGGTGTTTAGGGCCATGGAAGGGTGAGAGGGGTCCTCTGACATGTTCAGGTAAGCTGCTCGCCGTAGCTGCTCCTCAATCACCAGGGCTTGTTCTAGGAGCTGGACAAGGCAGAAAAAGGAGACGGGAGTTGGACTAACACTCACTTTGCTTATTTCTGATGGGCCCCTCAGAACCTATTAAAAATCTTACAGACTGCTCCCCCACACCCAAGCAGTTCACCACTGCATTCTTTTTTTTTTTTTTTACTTTTGCAGGTCCATGTTTTTAAAACTCTATTCTTTATTGATTCCCTTACACAAAAGTGATAAAAACTCAATTCAGAAAACAAGGAACATAAAAACATTTTTAAATTACAAATAAACCTACCTCTTAGAGATACTGTTAACATTCTGAAGTTTTTCTTTCCATAGATGTTTTATATAATTGAAATTACATATACAGATATTTTCACTCAAAGTTTCATAGTAAGCATCTTATTAACTGCACTTTTTAAAAAACTTTGTAACCTTCACCCGAGGCTATCTTTATTGATTTTAAAAGGATGGAGGAAGGGAGGGTGGTACAAAGACAGAAACAGTGAATGAGAAACAGACATCCATCAGTTGCCTCAACCAGGGATTGAACCCTTAACCTAGGTATGTGCCCTGACCAGGAATCGAACCCACAGTCTGGTATATGGCACAGCACTCCAGTTTAGCCACTCGGCCAGAGCTATTACAAATTCTTTTTATATATTTTTTAATTTTTCCTTATTTTTTAGAGAGAGGAAGCAAGGGAGAGGGAAACATCAATGTGTGGTTGCCTCTCCTTCACCCCCTATTGGAGACACCTGGCTGTCAACCAGGCCTGTGCCCTGACTGGGAATGGAACCAGCGGGTGGCAGTTTGATTCACAGGCTACCACTCAACCACTGAGCCACACCAGCCAGAGCATACCAATTTTTTTTTTTTTTCAGATTTTACACAGAGTGGGGAAAGGGGAGAAAGAGAGGGAGAGAAACATCACTGTGTGGCTGCCTCTTGCACACCCCATACTGGGGGCCTGGCCCACAACCCAGGCATGTGCCCTGACTGGGAATGGAACCAACAGCCCTTTGGTTCGCAGCCGGAGCTCAATCCACTGAGCTACACCAGCCAGGGCCATACCAAGTCTTAATAGTTGCACAGTAGTCCACCCTATGACTATACCTATGATATCACTGTCATTTAAGTTTTACTTTTTAAAATTATTTTTGTTGTTTCCTTTGCCTTCGCCAATAAGTGACCCTTTCTAATGTATTTACTGAGTCTTTATATAAAATGTTTTCTTCCTTTCCCCACTACCTATCTTCTTAAAGATCCATTTATGTTGTTGTATCACATGTATTGTTTCTTCAGTGGTTGCTCCGTCTCCAGGATGTGAATCACATTTTATCTATCTACACTCCCAATGCCAATCATCTAGGTTGCCTCTAGGCCCCAACACCACAAATTATATTGCAACAGACTCTTCTACCTGTTGTCTGATAGACCTGTGCAAAAGGTTCTTTGAAATAGATTTCAAAAGAGAGAATGTTAACTCACAAGTTATGAGACTTACTTTGCTGACGTATCCCCATTGATTCTTAAAAAGAATCCATGAAGGGGGTCATGAAAAAGAACAATGTGAGGACAATGGGCTGTTGCTTCTTCCACAAGATCTGGCTCCATCGGAGCCTACTACTTTACCCCCAAACAGACCAAAAATCTACTTTCAATCCATGTGCCCCATTTCCTTCACCAACTCCCTCCTGCCCCAAACTATGAGCCTTCTCCAGGATCAGACCTTGGCTTGCTGCTGATCTTTGAAAGCATTCTCCCAAGAGATCTTTCCTCTTCTAGGTCAGCCAGAACCTATATGCAAATGATTTGATGCTTTTCAAACCTGCAGCTCAAGCACTGATTGTTCTGATTCCACTCATGTATGGATGATCATTTCTTTGATCCCACTTGTTTATGGTGATAGAGATACTGGGAAGTTTGTGAGAAACACCAAATGACTTGCCTTAAACTGAATTTACTCCTTTCTACAAACTGTTCCCTCTCCTTGCTTCCCTGATCTGCTAGTGGTAATTAAATTTTCTCAGTGATTCGGGCTCAAA